GGTCCCATGAAGGAACCTGAGTTGGGTGGCTTGCAAAAGTTGACGCTCTGCAGGTTCCATGTTAAACATGGCATCAGCTGCACTGCACCCTGCAATCACCTGCCTTGCAGTTGGTCTCCTGCAGCTATATGGCTGAAGGGGGCCCCTTTCGTTCGCCAAGGCTTTGCAGCCATACGGAGAGTGCGCCGAGCACTTGAAAAGAGAGCCAGAGCACAGAGCTCTTGCACGAGTGGTTGAGTTTGCAGACTCCTTCTAAGAACTTTCTGTGAGCCCGATCATTGCCACCTTTGCAGCGCAACTTCGCTGCATTGGTAGCGGAGCACACGTGCCCGCTCCAGGGCCCTTTGGCAAGAACACCATCTTCATCGACGACGAGTAACTTGGCTGCCGCCAAACTGGTGTTCGCCCACATTGGTTCAGTGTGGTTTCTTCCTTTTCTAGTTCTACGTGATCATTGGTTATGTCAGAAGGACGTGAACAGTCAAGTGTTCCTTCTTGGGATGGCGCAGCTCGATCCTGGCGGCGCTTTACCTGGGAGGTTGCCTGGTTTGTGCAGAGCACCCCCATCCACAAGAGAAGATACTGTGCCTCCAAGCTGTTGAGCCGCTTGGGTGGCCCTGCTCGCCTCTTGGCTATGAGTTGGTCGAAGATGACTTTCGATCAGGTGAATGGCACCAAACTGCTACTCCAACGATTGGCTTCGAGCCCCTTGGTTCGAAAGACTTTGCCGAACGCGGCAGCCATCTGTCAACAGTACTTTGCCTTTCGCCGCAATCCTGGTGAGTCCATTGGCAATTTCCTTGTGAGAGAGACTCTTGTTCATGAGGAGTTTGTGGAAGCAATCATACGTCTTCACGAAGATCGCCTAGGAGTCTCAGAGGAAAACCGGGACTTTGACACTCCGGAAGACGGAGATGACTGGACGGATCAGTCATGGTGCTGGTGGGGCGGCTGGTACGACTCCGAGTGGGCTGAGCAGGACTTTGGCGATGGAGATCCTGACCTACAGCCCGATCCTCCGTATGATGAAGGTGACGATTCAGCACCTCGTGAACCACGACATGAAGGAGCTTCTGCGCCTGTTGGTGCGACAGGTTCGTCACCCAGTCACCAACCCGAGGCTGGCCCTCATGCTGGAGCCGTGCCACCTCCTGTTCCGGAGGATGATGGTTTGGGTGACGCCAGCCGACGGCCTCTGGATGAGCTCACCATTGCCGATAGCTTCATCATGGAGGTTCTTCGTGGCTGGAGACTTCTCCAGGCGGCGGGACTGTCTGCGGAGGAGAAACGTGACATTCTCCACCAAGAACTCCCTCGACTACGAGACGATAGCTTCTGCTCTCCAGAGCCTGTGAGATGAGCAACTTCTTGGGTCAGCGGCGTCACCACTCCGGCTCCTACCACAACTTCGCCGCCTTCTCGGAGGACCAGGACGACTCCTGGCAGGATGAATGGGATGATTGGTCCCACGCCTATCAGGCAAGTCAGTGGGATGATGATGACTGGAGCTCTGGTTGGTGGGATGATGAGGCCCAACAACTACAAGCTCAGTCGAGTGAGCAGGAATCACCTGCCCCCACTCCGGACGATGATGCCCTACGCGAAGCACAGCAAGCTGAACGGATGGCCGAGAACTTGGCCATGGAGGCCACCAGAACATGGACCGAGGCCCAACGAGCAACGCAGCAACTTCGAAAAGACCGAGGCTTTGGTGCTCCGGCGTCCCATGGTGGTTCCTCCTCTGCGCGATGCTTCAACTGTGGTGGCAATCATTTCTCTCATGATTGCCCTGATCGTCGACATCCTTCCTTTGGTGTGGCAAGGGCAAGTTCAAAGGCTATTGGGCTGAAGCGGATGACTACTGTGCCAACTACATCGGCAAGGGCAAGAGCAAGTCCAAGACCAAAGGCAAGAAGGGCTACTGGCTTGAAGGACAGGCAGCCTGGAAGGGCAAGTCGAAGGGAAAGGCTAAGCCTTCTTCTTCGGACGGCTACCGCTCCGTGAATGCCTACTCTAAGGAGATGTTCCTTGGTGCCTTTGAGCTCTCTGAGGCCAATGAGCTTGCTGCTTCTTCAACAACAAGCATTCCCTCCTCAAGAGGTGTGCTAGACTGTGGAGCAACCGCTTCAGCAGCTCCAGAGGCTGTGGCGCGGGGTCTCATTTCTTCAGTGCTGGCACAGGACCGGTCGACAACTGTGGAGATCGATCAGTCTGCTCGACCATACTTCAGGTTTGGCAACGGTCGTTGGGGTAGAGCTTTGTGTAGAGTACACCTTTCCAGTTCAGCATCAGGGCAACGCAAGACTTTCTCTCTTTACACTCTACCCAATCCTGCGGAATATTTTCAGGCGGACTTTGACAAGAGTTCTCTTGTACCAGTGTTGATAGGAATGGATCACCTCGGACCTCAAGGAGTTGGCATGATGATAGACTTTGCGACCGGATTGGCTATGAACACCAAGGAGAGTTCCCCCAGTATCTTTCGGTTGGATGTCAACAAGAAGGGCCATTATGTCTTGGATGTGGTTCAATACTTAACACAGGGATGTGTGAATCAAGAGGGTCATGCTCATGTGGTAGTACAGTCGGGTTCAACTTCGTCAAGTCCAAGCATGGAACATACGGCAATTGAGCTTTATACTGCCTTCTTTGACATTGCAGCTGCCGATCATGAGTTACGTGCCAGTGAACTTCATCAAGCTCAGTCTCGCATGTGGCAGTTGTACGAGGCATCACAAACTCTTCATGCTTCAGCTGTCTCAGCTCAATCGTCGATGTGCGTGCATTCTGCACCCGTAGAACCCCCGTCAACTTCCTCTCCGAGTTCCTGCTATGTCGATGCCCACGGAGCGCGACATCACCGACCACATCCGGCGCCAAACGCGCCCCAAGGCGAAGGCAGCTCCTCTCGATTACCAACGAGCCTTCCGAGCGGATCCCAGGGACCCAAGGATGGATCCGAAACAGTGGCCACGCATGAATCAGCACATCCCGATGCGTCCTCAAAGCAATGCGCATGGGGCATGGCGACACTGTGCCGTGTGCAACCTGAGGATGGAGTACATCCCTCGTCAAGGATGGGCAATGACCAAGCGGATGCTGGACGAGCTTCGAGGTCTTCTACAAGATCGGGTGAAGCCCACGGCAGCGACCTGTGCGGCGATGCAAAAGAAGATCGATGCGGAAGAGCAGCTGAGCAAGTTGATTTGCGACCACGAGGCCGAGTTCGCTCCTCCTCGCCGCACGACCACTCCGACATCACCACCAACCGTGGAACCAGCTCCGGCAACACAAAGTTCACCCGCCGAGTCCTCGACTACAAGCTGGCACCCGATTCACGACAGCCCTCAGGAGATGAGTCTCGACCTACGCGACACTGGATCATCAGCAGTGATTGGTGACTCGACGGCCACATGCTCCAGTTCCTTGTCGGCTACCTTGAGGACCTCTACTATGCCTACGCCGAGCCCTACTACCAGTCCCTCCGGTGATCCTCCGTCCTCTACCTCTTCCTTGCCCAGTATGTCAAGGTCAAAGACTTCCACAACGGCATCCCTGCCTCTCTTTGTTGGCAAGAAGTTGATGTCCATGGCGGCTCTGGCCCTGACTACTATGTCAAGTCTTTTGGTTGGTTTACATCTGAGTCACCGAGATGGATTGTGGGAAGTGGCATGCTCACCACATTCTTGGCTTAGCATGTCCGCTGAACTCACCGTATTAACCTGGCCAATGGCTTTGACCTCTACCAGGAATCCACCTAACAACATCTGCGAGACCTACGGCGACGGCATCGTCCTAAGAAGCTCTGGTTCAGCCTTCCCTGTACCAAGCGGTGTTCATGGACCTCCGTGAACTACAACACACCAGAGAAGCAGGTTCGGTTGGAATCAGCACGACGAAAGGAGCGCCCTCTTCTTTGGCATGTGAACGCCTTCATAAAGGACTCTCTCGAGGAAGACCCCGAGATTGATATCTACTTCGAGTGGCCATGGCCATGCTTCGGATGGAAACAACAACCCATGTTAGACTTGCAGCATCATCTGCAAGCGCACGGCTTTCCTGGGTTGGACTGCCGCATTGATGGCTGTAACTATGGCACGATGGATATCAAACGGGAGTTCTTTGTTCGGAAGAAGTGGATGATCCGACAAGGTGTTTCGCGCCAAAGTATGTCCTGGCAATCATCAACATTCCACCATTGAAGGCCAGGAGACGGCTGCTACGTCCTACTACCCGTGGCGGATGGTGCAAGCCATTGCTCGACATTGGAAGCAACAATTTGCTCCTCCTCGACATCAACGTCTACTTGAGTTTCGACATGATCTACATGATCCTGGCGACTCGGAGCTTATCGAATCTGATAACGAATCCTTCACCATGGACTACGATGTGAACGAGTTCCACGATTCTGCTCATGTAACAGAGGCGGAGTTGCTTGGATTGACATCACCTTCAGAAGATCAACATGCCACATCAGGGGAGTCGTTTGGATTGACGTCACCTTCAGAAGATCAACATGCCACATCAGGGGAGTCCTTCAGAGCCATGATTCTACATCATCTAGCCCAAAGCAACTACTCCATAGATGCATTGGAACAGGTACTGTTGGCTGCGTCCCGTCTCCATCAAGGCAAGTCGGCAACACATTCTCGATGGAGCGTTAGACGGGGGTCCGTGCTTGTCTTGGGAGCCTACTCACATGGTCACCTTAGTGGAGTGAGCCGCTCTACTCTGAAGAACCCCGAGCTGGTGCGCTATCTCAACGGCTTCTTCAACAAGCACTTGCCCAACGCTTCTTCGTCGAGCTTCATGGTTTCGTTTGACTGTCCTGCACTTCCTCATCGAGACTATCACAATATGAAGGGCTCTGAGAACCACCTGATATGTGTGGGTTCCTTTGGCAAGGGTGGTCTATGGGTTTCTGGCTCACCTCCTGCACACCTTCCTTCGGTGCGCCGCCGGATGCCTGATGGACATGTTCATGAAGGATATGTCCTACCAACAAGACATCAGCTTGTCTCCTTCGATCCACAAGCCTGGCATTCGTCTCAAGCCTGGGATGGCTATCGAATAGCGGTCTCTGCATATACCACCAGACTGGCTTTGGACTTGGCCGCTTCGGACAGCCAATGCCTCAGACAACTCGGCTTTCCTCCTCTACGACCACTTCATCAAGCGATGACTGCAACAGCCGCCTCGCTTCCAGAGAATGTAGATGAGGTTGTCTACAAAAAATGGGAAGCTCAGGTTGCCAAGCTTCACCGGTCTGCTGGACGTCCGACCAACTGAAACCTGGCCCGAATTGTGAAGGAGGCGGGCCATGAACCATGGCGGGCGCAGGTCGCTCTGGACTACAAGTGTCCTTCACGCCAGTCCTTGAAGATGGGTGGCACTTCCAGTGGCCAAATACCTCCTGCTTCTACCAACTGGATTGGCTCCTGCTTGGCACTCTGTTGGTGTCGATACCGGTGAGTGGGTGGTTCCTCACTCCAAGGTGAAACTGAAGTTCATTGTCTTCATCTATGTTGCCACCAAACTGCGGCTAGTACATCCTTTGTGCAAGTACGACATCATGACCATGCGCACAGAGTCCACTGAGGATGTCACTCGAGCATTTACAGAAAGATGGCTGGCAACCTTTCCGAAGCCACAGGTGCTCCTGACGGACTCTGCAAGGAGCTTCATCTCCGACTCCTTCCATGAGTTTGCCTCTTCCCTGAATATCCAGGTGCACTTCGTTGCCGAGAAGGAACATTGGGCACATGGAATCGTCGAAGCAGTTGTGCAAGATGTGAAGATGACTGCGTCGGCCATACATCTGGAAGCTCTTGATCAAGATCCCTTCGTGACCCTGCATTTGGCAGCGTCCGCTCTCAACTCCACCGAGTACACGGCAGGTTACTCAGCCTTTCAGTGGGCCTTCGGCAAACAGTATAGCATATCCGACGAGGATGTGCGGACTTTTCATGGCTGTGACTATCCAGCGGAGTATGTCAAGCTTGTTACGGCCCGACAGGCAGCAGAGGCAATTGCCACTCGAACCCGTGCTGATTGCTGTCAAAACTGTCTAATACAACTATGACTCTGAAGCTTCACCTCCTCAGCCAAAGAAGGCTAAGCAGGACAACTGGGTGGAGCAACTACATGCCGAAGTTGCCGACGAGCAACAGCATGACCTTCTCAATCTTCTCGAGTCCTTTGATGGTGACCTCGACTGCCTCAAGATTGAGTTCGACCTGGGAGACCTGTCCAACCGTCAGCGGAAGCTTCTTCAACGTAATCCGGTTGCCTACTTGGTCAAGAAGATGAGAGACTCTGAAGTTTCCCTGACCAGGTTGTCTGCTGTGGAACGAGCCCTCTTCGAAAGAGCCAAGGCCAAGGAAGTGGACTCGTTTTGTTCGTCGATGTCAAAACCAAGAAGAAGTACGTGCTGCATTTGAACAAAAGGGTTGTTCGAGCACGTTGGGCGTTGACCTGGAAACCTGTTCCTCTGGAAGATCAAGCTGAAGCCCAAATCGATGCGAGCAACAATCCCGCGACCACACACACAGCAGATGGCGGGAAGAAGGCCAAAGCCCGCATTGTGCTCCTTGGCTTTGAACATCCTAGCCCACTTGACAGCAACTATAAGACGTCATCACAAGGACCGCATGGATGGTGACCACCCATTGGTGATAGGAGCTATGGGAGGTCATGTGGATGACTTTCACCGCGTTGGTGATGACTCTCCAGAATGGCTCGTTATCAAGAAGGCCGTGGACGAAGCGTACAAGTGGGGCATGATCAAGACTGGCAGCTATCGACATGCCGGCACCGATGTGAAGACTCTTGTTGATCAGAACGGCTGGAAGTACATCACTGTCAGTCAAACGTTGCCATCGAGCCAGACAGGCTGAGAGCGAGTGGACCTCTCAACAAGTCCGAAGTGGATGCCTGTCGAGCTGCTCTTGGCTCCTTGCAATGGTTGGCCGTGCAGCCCCAGCCTCAACTATGCGCCAGGTGCAACCTGCTTCTGACCGAGCTGGTGACCGATGGCACGCTCGAGACTGCGCGCGAGATCCAGTCCATGATTGGCGAGGTCCGCAAGGAGTCGTATGTCCTGACGTTCCAGCGCTTCCCCGACGTCCACCACTGGACGGACGTAGTCTTCATTAGTATGGCCGCGCGGAGACAGCACCGGGGGGATGATCACTCTTTTGGCTGGACCAGGATGTGTTCATGGTCATGTCTGCCCCATGGACCTTCTGCGTTGGCGCACGTGGAAACTTAAAAGAAAGGCGATAGGGTCGAATGATGCCGAAGTGCAATCGGTTCTGGAAGCAGAAGACTGTAATTTCAGGGCGAGGTTGCTGTGGTCAGAGCTTCACGGTGCAGGTGGACATCATTCTTCGCGACCTCTTCGAGAAGACCTTGTGGATGTCATGGAGCGACAAGCTCTGCGTGTCAAGGGGATCATTTGCACTGATTCCCGTGGAGGATACGATGCAGTGGAAGTGAACGAGTCTCCACTGCTTGGCTTGTCAAACATGAGGGCTGCTCTGCAAGCTTTCCAACTTCGAGACAACCTCCGCCGGACAGGAACCGAACTTCGCTGGCTGGCGAGTGACTTCGATCTTGCTGATGCTCTCACAAGGCGGAAACTTGAAGCTCGTCTTGGACTTCTTCGCTTCTTACAGGGCGGCAAGTGGGCCATCAAGTACGACCCCTCCTTCCGTAGCGCCAAGAAGAGCAAGAAGGTCGGCAAGAGTGCCCTGGACACGATCAAGACCACCATGGAGGTCAGTGAGCAGTTTGTGCCCGATGGTTCGTAAACTTTTCCATTGATCACTTGTGCAGCTGAACTTTTTTGGGGCTGGTGCAGGTTCCATGTTAAACATGTCATCAGCTGCGCCCTGCAATCACCTGCCTTGCAGTTGGTCTCCTGCAGCCATATGGCTGAAGGGGGCCCCTTTCGTTCGCCAAGGCTTTGCAGCCATACGGAGAGTGCGCCGAGCACTTGAAAAGAGAGCCAGAGCACAGAGCTCTTGCACGAGCGGTTGAGTTTGCAGACTCCTTCTAAGAACTTTCTGAGAGCCCGATCATTGCTACCTTTGCAGCGCAACTTCGCTGCACGCTCACAGGCAAGATTTTCCATG